ACATACCTGGCGGGAAGCGCCGACATGGTCATCTGCGAGTACTGGATGCCGCCGCTGTCGACGTTCGACACGGGATCGTACACCCACCCCGCGACAACATCAGGGTATTGGGACGGGCGAGGGCGGTAGAATGTGCAAGTTTTCCCTGCATACGTCACACCGGCGCAATTCCGCTTGGATATGCACGCCTTGACGCAGTCAGCGTTGGTGTTGACGTTGGTTAAGACTGTGCTGATGTACGCTGGATCGGAATCTTGGGGAAACACGATGGCTTGGTCAGCGGCCGTGACCATTTGCAGCGACGTCGCTCGCGTGTACATGTGCACATAACAATACATGTGGTCGTTCCAGTACGTGAAGAAGTTTTGTCGACGCGTGGACGTCATGGCGGCGCATTCGCCGGAGGACGTCACGTTGATGTACACCTTCATGTTGAGCACTGACTCGGGCAGTGGAACGTGTACCGGGCCGGACGCGTGCGAGAAGTTCCGCGCGCGGTTGGCCACCTCGAACGCTTCAACTTGCGCATTCACAGCCGTCATGGTGGTCATGTCGATCCACTGCGCACCTGAAATGAAATTGAATGCTGTTGGGGACAACGAATTGGCCGCGTAGAGCCCGGACGTGACGTTCGAAGTGCGGTTGATCGGGGGGTCGTGAGGTAGCACGCCCGCGCGAGCGCCACTAGAAATAATTTGAGCCCCCTTTTTGTTCTTGAGGGTGCACTTGCCGCCGCCGACGGGGATCCACACGTACAACGTGCAGCCCAACGTGTTTTTGCAGTCGCCGCAGCAATCTCTGAAGTCGGACCGATACGTCGACAGGATGTCGTTGCCACGGTAATCGACGTCGTACTCGACGACGGGGCAAGCAGACGGTGTGGGGACTGGAGCTGGCTTCATTGGGTACGATGCAATGGCACCGGGATAATGCGTCGGGGTTCCTTTGGCAGATTTAAGCATACACGTTCCAATGTTGCCTCGAAGCATCCACACGAACGCCTTGCACCCCGATGTGACCGAGCACGTGGCGCAGCAGAGGGCGGCAGTGTTGCGCTCGAGGACGACCAAGTTGTTGCCGGGGAGGTCAATATCGTAGAACATGTTTGAGCATTGACGAGGGGGAGGCGTGGGCTCTAAGGTGTCCGTAGCGGCGGCAAGCGTTGAATTTGGGAGGGCTACGACAGGAGTAGGAGCAGATGTGGTTTGTGCAGGAGGGGGTGTCAGAGTTGAAGATGGGAGTGGCGTCCAAGCAGATGTGGGGGTTGGCGCAGAAGTCGAGACAAGGGGGGCAGCAGGCGCTGCCTTGTGGCCGGGGTCCGATCCGACGTCGCGGCCTCCGGCATTCCCCGGCGTATCGGTGGCGTCACCAGCCGTCCCGCACAGAGGCTTCTCCAACCGAGCTACTAGTTTGGCGGACCGTGACCCCGCTCGAAACGATTGTTTCAACGACGAGCTCTTGAGATGGCACGTGCCATTCATGGACGTGCTGTGCTGTTCCCACGTGAACGCAGTGCATGTGGGGGTGTCGTCGCAGTCGGCGCAGCACCCTTCCATAGAGCTTTGGCTGGTTTGCATGATATCGAAGTCGTCGTACGTCGTGTCCTCTTCAATTCCCGAGCACGTCGGCGCCGTCGCGACGGGGGCTACGAGCAGCGATGCCACCGCCACAGCTAACAGGACCAGCCTCGGCATGTAGCTTCAAGACGAGGCTGCAATTTGTACAATGGGGTTCATGTCCGTCGACTGGCTCAGCGTACACACACCTGGTCGGTATCCGATGTATTTGGGGAGCTTTGACGATTCGCTTCGATTGGTTGTGCCCATATAGAACCACGAGCAGGCCACAATACAGTACTCACTCTGCGTGGACTGCCAAGTTGTTCCAGGGTAACTCTGCCCTTGCTCAGGCGTGATCAGGTACGCGCCAGCGCAATCAACTGACCATATTTTGGGCAGCGTATTTCGTGCGCGACCCGCAGCGACAATTTTTTCGTTCCATCATCCCGTCGCAAGTGGATGCGTAGTGCAATGTCTCCCCAAACGCACCAACGAGACAACGAATACGTCCCATTGCCTCGGAAGCGCATGCGCCACCATTGGGAGCGCCGTGCGTCGTGCTGTCTGTGGACTGTCTACCCGAGTGTACACATCTGACCACCATCCCCGTCCAAATGCCAGCCGCCTGCCAAGGAGTGAAATCGCACACGCCCTTCGCCTGTACATTCCGCGTCGTGTTCGGCTCTTTTATGAAGGTGGCACGACCTTCGTAGTGGTGTGTAGTGAATAGACGGGATCGATGGCCGTGTGGGGGCTGGGACTGGCGTCACCACTGGCCCACAACTACAAACTCAACAGCAATCAAGGCATGCGATAGCAGGGCGGTATAGTGTCTACCGAAAGATTTCATAGCTTGGTGGTATGTGCACGAATATGGCCCTCTGGGTTGAGTACTCACATAATCGAGTATCATTGCATCACCCGCCGCCATCATGGGATGACCTCTGGGTGCTGGCGGCGTGAAGAATAGAAGTGCTACATTGGAAGAATCGTGCGTCTGGTCTAAAATTGATGCGGTTGCACCCAACCTCCCGACGCGGTCAGTCACGGGAAAATGTCGGTGTGCACAAGTTAGTCGTCTCACTCGCACAACGAACCCTCGACCAGAGGGGCGTGACTTGAGTCTAAGGATGGAGAGTTACTCTCGGGGAGGCGGCAGTAGGAAGTCAAAGTATGGCTGCGGTGGGCTTGGAGGCTGGTGGGGGAGCAAAATATCGAGTCGTGGCGTTGGAGCGATGTTGTTTCTCGCTGGTGGATCGGAGGGTGTACCGACCACGCAAAAGCGCATCGTCATCGTGACGTTCGAGCCACTCCTCCTGGTCCGTACGTACTTCGGTCTCGACACAAGTTGCATCTGCGCAAATCTTGTGCCGTGTCAAGAGGATGGTTCTGCGCAGACGGAGCTTATTCCAAGCCCTCGGTTGGCGTGATGGCACCCTCCACGATGAACATACCACACGCCCGCAGAGAAAGGGAACGGCCCACGTTTGCGCCGCCAAAGGTCCTGTCGACGAAACACACTCGCGTCCATCATGCCAGCGTCTTGAGACTTTGAGACTCGCGCGTCAATGGACGGGACGGCGAATGCGCAGCGCTTTGCCACGCGCACGTGGTAGACCACCGCGAGGACTTTTCAGGCTGTCGACGCCAACCTACGCCACGTACAACAATCGATGGCGTCGACAATGGGACGACGCGCGATTGAGGTCGTCCGTCGAGGACACCAACAAGCCCACTTGTCGCTGCCTACGCCGACGACATCCCCATAGTCGAACGCTTCCGCCATCGTCCATATCTGAACGTGGATTCTCTACCTTGATAATCGCAATCGTCGAAAGATTACTCTTCGACCACACCAAACGTAGTCAAGTGTTGATTTCGGCGGCGTCGAGGTCGCCACGAAAGCGCTCCAACATCATCACACTGCTCACGACGAGAGCGGTACGATGTGGCCGAGACCGTGCACATGAAAAACAGTGGCGTGGGTTGTGTTCGCTTGTGCTTCAGTTTCCATGTAATGTCCTGACCATGTGCTGTAAATTCGTCGTTGCAAAAAACGAGGAGTGCCTCGCGCGGGTGGTTTCTCCGCGCAGCGGCACACGTCATCGTATGCGAGCTGGAGACAGTCCGCAGCGTCGACGTTGTTGCCTTGGTAAAACAACATCCAAGGTGTTGACCATCTCGCACGCTGTGTCAAGCCCGAGCTCTGCCTCGACGATGTGGGTGACTAGAACATCGCGCAAAAATGCCGCCTGCCTATTGCGTTTTTGAAACGCGAGTCGGCTGCCTTGGACGAGGTGTTGACCACGAGAGTGTACTCCCCCCTGATTCCACAGGTGAAGGGTTGCGTGGCGCAGGAGCGTGAACGATGCGACTACGATGGAACGACATTTGCCAACGTTCCCGCTACACGTCACCGTCATGGGAAATTCAGAGGCAGCTTGAGTTCTCTGTCTTCGCCGGGGGGGGGGAGGCGGCTCGACAGACGCTCTCCTGCACAACTCATAGTCAGCAACGTCAGTCAGACGGATGGACTCGCACCTTCTACCATGGCATTCCTCAAGTCTGCTCAGTGACACGACAACGACAGGAATGCTGGACCCCGTCCCTCAACGAAGCAGTAGCCGCTTCATTTTATGTTGCAATGAGCCGACACAGGACAGGGTCGAAGCAAACATGCCGTTCTGTTTTCATTGCATGGTACGCTCCCTGCTCTTACATGAGGACGTCAGCGCGCGGGGATGTTTTCGTAGTCGAAATGCATGAATAACAACGGAATTCGTGTAGTACATTCAAACATGAAAGTGAATGAAGCTAGAACGCGCAGAGGGCTGTCTTGGTCACGACCTGGTCGACGTACGTGCGGCCCAAGTGAGGGGCGTGCTCGGACCACACGTTTCGGTAGTGCGCCGTCAGGATGCCCATCGAGAGGCCGACCCAGGCGGCGCGCTGCGCGACTCGCTCGGCGTCGTTCATGTTGACCGTGTCGTACCAGTGTTGGTAGCCAAAATACGGGTACTGCGACACGCACCGGTTGAAGAGGGGGTCGGCGTTGAGTAGTTCCCCCGTGATGCGACCGGACGCAACATGCAGGATGTGGTCGACGTTCTCGTCCTTCAGGTACTTGGAGTAGCTCGCCGTGACCTTGGAGACTCTTGTCGCTTCCGCGACGATGATGGCCTTGAGCACGTCTTTGACTGCTTGGGCGTTGGCGTACGTTTGTGTGGGCTGGTCGAGCGGCGCTTTGGCTTGGTTGTTGATAATTACCGATACCAGCCCTTCCTCCGACAAACGCAGGAAGTAGTGGACGGCATTTCCCACCGTGACCTTGACCAGGTTGTGGCCCTTGAGCAGCACCGTCTCGTTCCGCATCACGGGGGAATACGTGCCAAAGATATTGATCCACGTCTTGGTCGCTGACACGGTCCCGATTTCACGCGCTTGCCACCAGTTGTTGGTTTGGCCGCCGTCGCCCGCAGACAAGTACACAAACACAGACTTGGTCGTGGAAGTCTTGAGCGAATTGTACACAGGGGCCGACATGAACAGCTCGTGGTCGTCCGTGTGGGCAGTGATGTAAAAGTCGACCTGCGATACCTTGGCCATTGTCGTCGGGAGCGTCGACGGGATGATCCAGCCCAGCGTCGACAGCGGGTCGAACGCCGGCTGCAGGTACGTGCATGCCCTCGTGTTTGAGTCGAACATGGCGCCAAAGCAGTTGGATTGGGTCGGCACGCACAACTTGTAGCAGTCTGCGGCGGTCACGGCCGACATGACGACCTTTGCCACGTCTGTGCCAAACGACCCAGACAACGCGACGGGCACGACGGGCGTGTTGATCAAGCGGAGGCTGCGGCTGGTGCTGGCCGTGGGGGTAAACGTCGTGCAAGCTTTCGTCGTCGCCACAAATGTAAACAGAGTCTTGCCCCTTCCTTTGGCAAACTTGGCGCACACATCCAATGTGGCCACGCCCGGCATCACTTCGGTGAGGTAGGCGCGGGGAAGTGTCGCCATGGGCATCCGCGAGTACTGAACGCCCGACGAGTCGACCGACCAAATCGCCTTGTTCACCCACCCCGCGACAACGTTCGCATCCGTGGACGGCTTGGGCTGGAAGAAAGTGCACGATTTCGCCGTCGCAGAGTACACAACCCCAGCACAAGTCCCTTTGGCCTGGCATGCCTTGAGGCAGTCCGCGTTGGTCGCGACGTTGGCCAACGGCGCCAACTTGAACGCGTCGTCCAGCATCTGCGGATACGTGATTGCAGTCGCCGGCTTTCCCACGACGGACGCGTCCAGCATCTGAAGTGTCGTGTCCGCTGTGTTGTCGTGAACTAAACACACGAGCAAGGAAGGCAGGTATGTGAAGAAGTAGCCCTTATACGCGGTGGTGAGGACCGCGCAGTCGCCTGGGGACGTCACGTTGATGTAAGGCGCCAGCCCGATCGCTGCCTCGAGCGTAAACATCGGAATCGATTCGCCTTCGTGGGCAGCTGTGGGCCTCGCGAGCGACGCTTCCTTGAAAGCTTCGACTTGGGATTGCACCATCGCGAGCGTGCCTTGATCGATCCACTGCCCCCCCTTGATGTAGTTGAACGCCGTTGTAGGCAGAGGAAACGTGCCTTCTCTGCCGCTCGCGATCGGTAGAAGCGGGGTCGTCGGCGTCACTACCGGAAACACGGCGGCGACGGCGCCCTGGGCAGGACTCGATGGACCCTTTTTACTCTTCAGGTAGCACGTTCCACTGGACCAAACGTATAGAGAGCATCCGGGCGTCCGCTCGCAATCCCCGCAACAGTCGGCGTGGTTGGCTCGGGCCTTGGACAAGATGTCGAATCCGTCGTAGTCGATGTTGTATTCGACAGTCGGGCATTTCGACGGAGTAGGCGCAGGCGTGGACACGACCGGGAAGGACGCCCGTGCTCCTGGAAATGGCGATGGTGCCCCCATCACGCTCTTGAGAATGCACACCCCAACGCCATCTCGCAGCACCCACACGAACACAACACACTTGGCATTGTTCGAGCACGCGTCGCAGCACAAATCGATCGTGCTCAGTTGGAGCTCGCCAATGTCGTTGCCAATGTAATCCGTGTCTTCTTGAATGGGGGCACACTGCGATGGAGCGACCGTGGGTGCTCCCGATGCCGATGGCGTTGGTGCAGCAGTTGGTGCCGCAGTTGGAGCCGGGGTGGGACCTGTGGAAGGTGCAACTGAAGGAGTTGGTGCTGGGGTCGGTGCAGAAGTTGGTGCAGGAGTCGGTGCTGGAGTTGGCGCAGGAGTTGGGGTAGCCAAATACGACGCTCTCGCTCCAGGATAGTAGCTTGGTTGGCCCTTGGATGATTTGAGGAGGCAAGTGCCGACGTTGTCTCGCAAGATCCAGACATATGCGGCGCATCCTGGCCTTCGGGAGCACGCCGTGCAGCAAAGGTCAACCGTGTCCAGTTGAAGGGGGTCGCCAAGGTCGTTACCGGGTAAATCGGAGTCTTCAATGATCGCGGTGCACGTGCCTGGAGCAGCGAGGAGTTTCGACGCGCGCGCACCAGGATAGTACGACTTGCCGGATGGAGAGCTCTTGAGGATACACCGCCCGGACGCGCCGTCGGCCACCCACACAAAAAGTGTGCACATAGGAGACGCCTCGCAGTCGGCGCAGCACCCATCGGCCGTGGCCTGCGCCGTGACACCGACATCGGAACCGATATAGTCGGTGTTGTCTTCGATCACGGCGCATTGTGCACCCGCCCCGTGGACAGAGTCAACTACCATGCTCGCGGCGAGCACGAGCACGGTGCAAATGGACCACATCATGATGCGGTAGGTTGAGCAAGAAATGCCAAATGAGTGCGTTGCCTATATCAGCTGGCCGACGCCACTCTGCCACGCCCCGCCTCTTCACAGAGTTCCACAAACTATGACATTGCTCCCCCCTATGTCGCGCGCTAAACTGACTGCCAAGATGCATCCGATGGTCTCGTCAACTTGGGCGATCCGTCGTTAGTATCGATGCACGGCACACGGCCGGGTGTCATCGCTTGGGCCCAAGGCGCGGCCGGCTCGAGGTCGAACGGTGTCAGGCCCCTGTGGGATGGGGGTGCTGCCCATGGAGCTTCAGATTCAGTTAAGTGACCCGAAATTTGTTGCTGAATTGAGATAAAACGCGGGTACTTCCCATGGCAACGAATTCTAATTGGCAATACCAGTTCAATACAATGCAATTGATGAAAGTAAAGCCCAAATCAGACTGTTTGTTTCGACGTTTCTGTGGCATGAAGCACGTTATGCGGCAAAAACCTATGGCGTCACTCACTTGACGAGGTAGCACGGACACCTTGCGCTACAGAAAATATTGGGGGGGGGTTCATTTCGCGCAATGTGTTGGACGTATGGGAATCTATCAATAGCGAGCAGTAGGGGTTGGGATATACCCTCTAACTTGGGTCTGCTTTACTTCCGTCACGTGAATGGTGCAATGCGACGCCTTCTTCACAATGCTGCACATGTTGGTACGTAGGGGCGCCCCAAAAATGGATCTCGCTGGCAGCTGTAGAACGCCAAAGTAGCACATGGACGTCCAAGCAGCACATGGGCGTGATGTTAAAATGGGTCTGGATTATTCATGTTACAAGTACTCCACTCCACAACTTTGAAAAAACATAAACGTAGCTTCAAAAACACAGAACAAGCCTGAAAAATACAATCGTTAACGCCCATTTGATCTAGACCTCGAATGAATGTTTGTTATTTCTTGTCAATCAGCTACTTTTGGCCAATATTAATCTCCAAATTCCACACGGCGAGAGGTGTACAAGCAACATGACGAAGCATGCGTCAAAAATTGTGGACTCAAGTCGTCAACAGCCGCCAAAGTTGAATCAGCACAATTGCGTTCCTTGGATGGGTTGTTGGGTTGACAGTGGGACAATTATCATAACCAATACTTCCGTCAAGAATTGAGCCAGTTTTGGGTTCAGGAATACATGTTTGTCACATTATATCAATTGAAGTTTGACTTGTCGAAATAGTGGAAATAATATGCTGTCGCTAGAAAATCTATCGTGGCAGCATTGTAGATACCTTGGCAATTTTGAACACAACAGGAGATATTCCATTGAACATAACAGGGGATACAGTGCTCCCTCAAGGTTTGTTCCCTACTCACAGTCGTGGGCAGCTTCCAGGGGACGTTTACTAATTTAATTACCTTTCACGGGATGTGTGTGAGGTGGTATCTCATTACTAAATTTGGAACCTCCGAAACTAAGAACTCAAAGTATTATGCAACGCAAAGAGATATAAAATTCTATAAGCAGTCAGTTTACTAAGCAGCAGCAACTCGTCCAGCAGTGGCATGGACGAGTTGCTGCTGCTTAGTCGATGATCGGAGGTATGGTCATCATCGTTAGATGCATGTCTGATGTCTGGTAGCACTTGCTCGTCCACCGCCACGTCTTCTTCATCTGCAACGTCCTGGAGACCAAGGCAGTCCCGCAACTAGGCGAGTCGTCGCTACGATGCTGCAATACACCCATGGATTGTCGTAGAAGTGAGGCTTTCAAAGGCAGTCTTCAACCGCTCCAGTAACTCACGGAAGGAGGTATCTACTCTAATT